AATCCTTGTTTACCCAATGTCTATATGTCAATCATTCCACTTCCCCAGCTTTATCACAAAAAGATGGTTACTCCAATTTATGACATTAACAGAATTTATCTTAAAACAGTGTAATTTTAAAAAATACAGTTAAATATTCTCTAGTGTCTTAATGTTAACATTGCAGAACTTTTCCTCTCTTGACGTGAATATAACATTGCAAACCAAATGCTATGGATGTCAAGATGGTGTATTATTTCCTTCTTCAGCAATCATTTCTTAGAAACATATGCAGATGCAGTATGAATAACACTTCAAGACCACTAATCCCACTCTTTGAAGATTATGCCAAGAATTTATTTATTTATTTATTTTTTTGGCGGGGGAGGGGGCAAGAAATACTCACCAAGCACCTGTTGGGCTGTCAAACGTTTTTTTGGGTCCGGCTCCAACATTTGCCTAACAAGGCTTTTGGCACTTTCAGAAACCTGCGGCCATGGTTCCCTCTTAAAATCAATCACTCCTCTTAAAATTGTTAGTGCAACACCCTGTTCAGTTTCTGCAGCAAACAATAAAACTAACTAAAAATCTCTGAATTCAACAAACGTTTCATATAACCACAGCTAGATATAACTTCTAAGAACTTAAAATTATACCTACCCAAAATGGAGGAACTCCACATAAGAGAATATAAAGAATCACATCGGCACTCCATACATCAACCTCTGGCCCATAATTTCGTTTCAAAATCTCCGGCGTAATGTAGTAAGGACTTCCTACGATCTCAGAGAACTTCTCACCTAGTTGAAAGTTTATAGTCAATAAATTAATCAAGCCAGGAAAAAAGGACTACTAAATTCCCCATTGATTATCATGTGATGAACACTTGAATTGGACTAAGCAATTGGAATTCAAATTAAAATTAGTCCAGATATGACTAAAGTGAGAAATAAATATTTCAAGATTCAATCAAGTTTTTTTTTCTCTCTCTCTAAAGAAAGGAAATTTTGAAACATATGTAAACCCTCTCAAAAACTTCAAAAGGGGGAAGATCAAACCCCCATACACCAAACCCAGAAATTCATTTCCATGCCTAGATCAAAAGCTACAAATTCGAGATCTTTTCGAAAAAATCAGAAGAAAACCTGAACCTATTTTTCAATAATTTAAAAAAAATCACTCAACACACCCACCAGGTTTGAAAAACACTGACAACCCAAAATCAATAGCCTTAAGAGCCGATCACAAATTGAATGGAAAAAACC